AGATATTGCCCGTCTTAACCCGACTCAATATAATGTTTCAAATTGTATTTATTTTGTGTGTGCATGACCTACCCATATGTTTTCACCTTATTAGTTACCAGTAGGAAGGTATTAAAGGTATTTAAATGAACATTTTCTGTTCATGACAAAAAATTTCGTTAAACGTACACACCCATGACCACAATAACAAATATTTTTGTAAGCTCGTTTTTCCCCACTTTGAGCTCGAATTTTCCAATTTTTTCCTCGCTCTTACCAATTGGGCTGTGCGTTGATTGCCAATCAGTCAGTCAGTCAGGACAAACTGTTTTATAAACACATTTGTATAGAGATACTTGTGCGCCCATATCTTAAAATCCTTCTATTCATTTAAAAAACCGCCCAACTAATTAAATTTAATACAATTTAAATTTAATGAGCTTTTCAATTGCCTGAATTTGGATCGGTCTTTTCTCCACTAGGCTGCTTTTTATACTCTGTACATGAAATGTACAAGAGTATATTAGGTTTGCGGGAGCTGAAAAATGTAACAGGCAGAAGGAGGCGTGGCAGACCCCACAAAGTATATATATTCTTGATCAGCATGACGAGACGAGTCGATCTAGCCCTGTCTGTCCGTCTGTCCGTCCGTATGAACACCTGGATCTCAGAGACTATAAGAGATAGAGACACCAAATTTTGCACAAAGATGCGTTATGTGTGTATTCTATACGAGTTTGTTTTATTTTTTTGATTTTCCCCCCCACTTCCCCCCTATGGGGGTTTTCCCGATTTTCCATTCGTATAATCGCCTATATCTCGGAGACTATAAGACCTAGGAACACCAAATTTTAGTCCCAGATGCCTTATGTGAATACGCAGAAAATTTATATTTTGGAATTCCCCTCCCTCCCCCCTCTACCCCGCAAATCGTAACTCCCGTAATTCTTGGAATTTCGAACTAAAATTTTGGAAATACCCCTAGTTGGTTATTATGTGTCCGTATGCCAAATTTCATTATGATAGACCGATTTAACAAGAAGTTATAGCCATAAATATATTTGCTGATGCAGCGCTGCTGCAGCGCTGCTCAAGCGCTGCCCGCGGCTGTTGTTGATGTTGCTGTTTGGTTGACTGCGAAAATGCTTACACAGACACGAATAGATGCGCATAGGCATACATACACTCACACAGACGCAATTGCTATGTAAATGTGCAATTATACACCCTTTACGTGAGTTCGAATACCGAGAGAGGTAAAATCGATCAAATTTTTTTTTTTATTTTCTTAATTTTTTTATTTTCTATAATTATTGTATACATATGTACAGAGTATTTCAAAGTCGGGACACCCGACTTTAGCTTTTTTACTTGTTTTTTTTTATTTTCTATAATTATTGTAAACATATGTACAGAGTATTTCAAAGTCGGGACACCCGACTTTAGCTTTTTTACTTGTTTTTAACTAAATTTTCTGTTCTAAATTTTTATCATAATTCTTCTTAGTTTCCCTATCATACATCATTATAAATTTCACATTCTATCATTGTTTTAGCAGCAGTTTCTTTGCATAAATGAAAAATGAACCAAATAATAGGTGCTTTATAATCCCTAAATCTTTTAAAATACATACATATACGAGCATATTGAAACATACATATTTACATACTCAACATTAAAGCTATTAAATAAATTTTGACAGGTAATAAAGAGTCGCTATGTCTCTATTATTAAGTTGTCAACGTCGGCTACATACTCGGTATTTAAGTGCTGATTGCTAAGCTTATGAATAAGTTTCCATGTTGAAAAGATTGATGAATTGAGAATGATCGCTGACTTAGCGATACTGTTAATGGCTTATGTAATGAGCCATAAATCCGCTTCGGAAACCAAATCAAAGCCAAACAACATTCAAACTGCAGTTCAAGCCGCAGTGCGCGCTCTATCCGTCTTCCCCCTCCTGATCGAGCGGCGTTCACTTTTCTGGTATTTAGCAAATATTTCGCATGCCAAACCGTAGCTGCTAACTGCGCCGACACAAAGTGCGGAGTTGTGATCGGAATTAATAATTAATATTCTTGCACCTTCCCAAACTGTGCGACCAATGTGGACGAGGACGCCTCACGCAGAAACTAGTGCAGACGACACTTTGATTTGTGCCAATGCGGACAATGGAGTCAACAGCCCCTCGCAGCCATGACCGTGACAACTTGGATGGTAGCAGCAGATGCAACAACAAAAACAACAACAACAACAAAAACAAAAAAATAATCGAAGAGCGCAAAAACCAATCGATCCATCGGACCGATGTCTGCAACTCTTTTTGCTACATCTGTCCAAAGCACAGTGGGACCGAACGCAATCCGTTAATGGAAATTGCTTAACAAGGCTGAACTTGTTTTAAAGATAGGTCTCCACTTATGTATGTATGCATTGAATATTTTTTATGTAATTCAATTAATTAGTTAAAATATTTAATTAATTTAATTAGTTTAATTTATTTAATTAAATTAATTAGTTTATTTTTTTTATTTATTTATTTATTTATTTATTTCATCGACAAACAATGCAGTCGATGTAAAAGAAAAAGAAAACAAAAAATCAATACAAAAGAGAACTTAAACTAAAATAAAGCTATTGGAATAAAAAGCCTATAAAAATGACACAAATATCTAATAACGAATCCGACATTAATTAGTTTATTTTTTTAAATTAAATTAATTAGTTTAATTTTTAAAAATTAAATAATTTAGTTTACTTTTTTCAAATTAATTAAATTAGTTAAATTTTTAAAAATAGTTTTTAAGCTGCTTTTTCTTTGTCGGGCTTGCTTGACTGTAGCGTTCTCTCTTCATTTATTTTACAATTTGGGCAACAAAGCTAGAAGAAATACCTAATAGTAATGTTCTTTAAGAAAGCAACAAAAGAAACTGGTTCGGATTACGCGGAGATTTTTTTTTAGTTTTTTAGCTAGTTCCCTCGATTTATCGGTTATTGTATAGTGTCTATACTACAAGTATGTATTGACTTATACGCTGGTTCGGTATTGTATTCTGCTGAAGTTCGATTTCTAAATATTTTGTCATTGTTTTTGTATGGCATTTTTTGTACCGTTACGATTTTGCTGCAGTGGTGTCGAATTTTATTTTAACTGGTAATTGCTCCATATCAATAATACAACATATTTCAATAAAAAAGTTGAGAATCTAATTAAAATACTGACAAGAAGTGTGGGAATTATGACATCAAAAGGAATTGGTTAATGTTAATTAGGTGACCTTCATTGATGCTAAATAGTAGAAATAATTTTCAATTTCCCAGTTTATTCTTTCGATATACATACAAATATGTGTAGGCCAACAAATTAATAAATTACGTAGTTTTAAACAAATTTATTAAATTTGGACATAAATGAATTAATCGTTGCAAAAATAATTATGGTAGTCATTGTTTTTGTAGTCCAGGATTTCAAACAGGCGGACGAACAGACGAATAAATAGATGGACTTTACATATATATAATCGGATTAAAAAAACACTCACACACATGTATACACCTAATTCTGTTTTTACACGGTAGATTGGTTCCAGAAACAACCGTGTAAAACAAGACATTGATCATATGCAAAAATAGTTGATTGGTTCCTTGTCTCTAAAGAAATATATATGAAATTATTAATTTTCAAACCGTGTTATATCAAAATCGTGTAAAAAAGACCGTGTAAAAACAGAATTATTTGTATAATTAACGAGGTCGAAGATGCTTCCCACTGTCTGTAACATAAATTTAGACAATCTTCACATACCCTTTCCCACTTCGGGTATAGAATAGTTCATGCTAAATACGAGTATGCATCTCCCCTTTGAATTTAGTCAATTGATTTGGAATTAAAGTCCACATTCGTTGGGTTGAATCGGCTAAGCCTCTATATAGCCATCAGTTATCCGTAACTGTTCAGTCCCACTGTGCAACGACGAAGTGAGCGCGAAGCGTGTTCGACTGAGAGCGCTCGCTTGCCTCCAACAGGAGCAAAGTGCATTCCTCGCATGGCTGGCGGTTGTTGAGGGAATGTGCTCGGTTTTTGTGAGGCACGTTCAGTCGGAGAGTGGCTTGAGAGTTCTTGCCCCTCGCCGTAGTGCCTTGTGCTTGTCTTTCAGTTTGTCATTTGCGTTGTTCAATTAATTGCAGAAATCAATTTGAACAATGTAACTTAACTTCATTTCTGCGCGCTTTAGCGTGTTTTTCGTAGCCTTCTGGCCAATGGTCGACATTGCCGATGGATTCACTGGAAAAATGGGTTTGATCGGGTTTGTTTAATGTACGAATTGCGATTGTTATTGCTATTGTTATTGTTATTGGGGGCTTGGGTGCTGTACTGTGCTAATTGCTACGCGTGCAAGCAACAACAGCAACAATAGCAACAACAAATGGCCACAACTGGTGGCCTGTCTAGCAGTTCACATGCGTGGATGCGAATGAACGATCGGACGGTCCGTCGCATCGATCGATTGATGGTCTAACATCTTCCGGCAGCACAACAAAAAAGAAAACAAAAGAGTGACAACGCGCGACACATGCGCATCGGAGAGCGCTGAGCAGGCGGGGGCTTGGTGGGACCGTGGTGGGACAGATAGAAGACGGCTTTTAGATAAATCCAATTAGTCTGATATTTGTACTTTTTATGTGAGAATTCCCATTAAAAATGTAAAATGTCATAACAACGACAAACACAATGACAATGACAACTACAACGGTTTCTAAGCAGTCCGTGTATTGTAGACTGAATTGTGCGAGTATTGTAGGTACGGGTATAGTATCTTATAGATACGCGAACGCGCTACATGCGCCTTTGACGTCGCGATGTGTCGCGGCTTTGGCGACGATGGCATTCAATAATTTTATGCTAACAAATGCGGCGCGCAGAAGCGGTCGCAGCGACGACAGACGACAGAGGCGACAGGGACGACAGGGAGGGCGGCTAAGTGGCGCTGCAAAGCATTTACGGTAACATTAACACTTACCGCGCATTCACCGAGGACTGAGCAGCTCCGATCTCCTCCATGGACTTTCTGCAAAAACGAAACGAAACGAAGCGAAAGAAACGCACATTTAGCCTGGTCTGTTGTATTTATTATACGCGGTGCGGAAAAAGTTGGCATTTTCTAAATAAATTAAATTAGCCGATAAATGTGTCGCGGTCTGGGCTGCTGCCCCAAGTCTTAAGTCTTTGTTGCAGGGGCCGAGGCAGGGTGGCAAGTGACAGAAAACTCACCTGTCGCCCCAACAGAGTGCATCCTCGCGGTACCTGAAATGAGCACAGAGAAAATAAATCATTTTTAATTCGAGAAATAATAAATATCCGTCTGCAAGGTCAACAGGAAGTTAACCATTCGAGCGGCCGACCAATCGACAATTGTCTAATAAACAACAATCTGTGAAAACTGCACATAAGCTGTTAAGGCCGCACATTATCGTCGAACTTTATAATCAAGTGCACCACCACCGATCCAAATTTATTGATTTGTCCAGCCAAAGCCAGTATTCACATCCACTTCCAATTCGGACACCAGCATAAGGACGAGGACACGGACAAGGACAAGGGTGAAGGCAAAGGCAAAGGCACAGCGCCGGGCAATTTTCGTCATTCGACAGACAGCCCGTAAATCATGGCCGAAATGGCAGAACGGTCGCACAGTTAGCAACTGGAATCGGTCCTTATTTTATTGCCAGACCGCGCCTGATTTTTTATTTTATTTTATTTTTTTTTTGCACAACTCGCCAATTGCTGACCCCAAAAAAGGAGCATCGGCCGACTGAAGCAGTCATCGATCAAGGGTAGAAAATAGCCACCGTAGCAATTATTAAAATTGTAATATTCATCGCTTTTACCTTTTGCCTTCTTCGTTTTTATATTCCTCTTTCTCCCTTTGTTCTGCCAATTCGGATTGAGTTATATACATACTTGTATATAGTCATAGATAATTAGTTTTGTGCCTTTAAGTGTAAGCAAAGTATGAGAGTGAGAATAGTGGGTGGCATTCGTTTTGTTGAAGACCATTTCTGTAAATCTACGATTATGCTGGGGCAGAAGGATTCATAAATTCTTACGATGATAGGTCACGTCGATCTAGCCATGTTCGATCCCCGTCTGGATGAACATCCTGTTTTCTTAATTTAGCGGCTTAACCCACATTAATCAACTGTTTTGAGTTACGACAAAGTCTAAAAATATATAGTACACCTACTTCTATTTTACATGGTCTTGTTTTACATTGATTTGATTTAACACGGTTTGAAAATACAAATTTTGTATATGGTTTAACGACTTTTTTCCATTTAGCACGATTTACCACAAGAACAAGACAGAATTAGGTTTATAAACTAATCGCACTAATATGTGTATATAATTCTCTAAACAATTACCTCACATATGGTTCAAATCGGGTAATTGAAACAAAGTAATAAAAGAATCAACACAATCAAATTTGTAATTGAAATTATAAAATCATAAAACATTAAACCAAGATTAATTTATCTATATGTATTCATAAAATTATTCTCTCGAATTATATTTTCACTATTTATATTTTCACTATTTTATATCTTTCGTATTGAAAAACTTGCATGCGATAAGCAAAAAACAAATTATTTTTATGTTTTTAAAAATGTTGCTATGTCTTTAGAAAAATGTATTTATATTTATTTATCTTTTCTTCAATTTTATTTCAGTAACTATTAATTATAAAACCGCCTTTTGCTCTTTATGCAACATACACTGGTCGGCACAATTATTTTGACGAGAAGAAAATCATACATTTTTGTCAATAACTGGTTATTGGTTTAAGATATCAAAGGAAACTTTTTTTCTCAATTCCATATTGGTATTACAAACTTAAAAATAATTCAAAGGATATATTTTTATAAGAACTTTTAAAATTATAAATCAAGGTAATTTTCATGGGTTGGCATAAGTATTTTGACAATGGATATTAACAAAAAAAACAAAGCTTAATACTAAACAAAACATAAGAAATTGATGGTAGATTAATAAAATGTATACCCGCCTTTGGCTTCGATAACTTTTTGAAGACGTCTTGGAACTGAGTCCACTAAATTTTGAAGGACCTCTAATGGTATCTCTTTCCAAAGAGAAGTGACCTCGGAAATAGTTTCTTCTTCGGTTTTATGCAAAGACGCATTTCTTTTACGTTTTACAAGAGACCACACATTCTCAATAACGTTTAAGTCCGGACTTTGTGGTGGCCAATCCAGAGTAGTAACACCAACATCGCTTAAAAATGCTCTTATCATTTTGCTTTTGTGGCATGGGGCGTTATCCTGTTGCAGGATAAATGATTCTCCAATCAGCCTGTCACCGGAAGGGAATGCGTTTTCGTTAAGGGTACTCAAATATTGTTGCTGGTTCATTGAGCCGGTGATGGGAACGAAATCACCTAACCCATTGTACGCAATGCATCCCCAGAACATGACTGAGCCTCCGCCATGGCTCACTTTTTGACATACGGGGATATTTTTTTGTCTTTGAAACTGTGGGAGCCTTACAAAAATCTTTGTTTTTGATGAATTATATTCAAAGGAGCTTTCATCTGTCCATAGAACGCTTCTCCAAAACTCTTTTGGCTTATGCAGATGCTCCTTTGCAAAAGCCAATCTTTTGAGCTTGTTCACCTTTGATATGTAAGGTATGTCCTTCGCTTTGTATGTCTTAAAATCTTCTTCTTTTAGGCGTCGCCGAACAGTACGCTCACTGATTGGAGTCTTGGTCGACTTATTCCATTGATCTGCAGCAGCTTGCGGCTTTAAATGAATATTTTTTTTAAATTCCCGCAATAGGACTCGATCTTCAATGGGTGTTGTTTTGCGGTTAGCACCTGATCTAGGCAAGTTTTTGACGTCATTGTGGGTCTTATATTTGTTAATTTGATAGTGGACTGTTTGCCGCGACAAATTATATTCATTTGCAATGTCTTTTGGTGCTACGCCGGCATTAAACTTCGCCACTATTGAGGCTCTAACAACATAACTTAATTCTGTCTTTTTTACCATTGTATCGATTACTTTTGAATCAAATTTTAATGAAAATAATGTAAAAAGGTCAACAAAAATTGTTACACCAAAGTTATTTTAGTATCACTTGATAAAACGTACGCGAAAACGGCGACAAGGTTTGGTCAAAATACTTATGCCGTGCCTGAATCCGCAGTCAACTCACATTGTCATTTGTAGAAAAAAGGTGTGAAGAGTAATAGACAAAATATTTTGCCTACATATTGTTGTTGCTATGAACTCAATATCCCGTATGAAAATTGTACCGTTATTCCTTGAAACTAAAAGCAACCAGCACCGATAGTCGTGAGTACAGTTCGTCAAAATAATTGTGCCGACCAGTGTATCTTGAACAAAAGGATATAGGATACTTTACAAATATCTATAAAGTTTTTGTTTCTTGCTCCTCTTAGAAAATCTAATTCATGTTATCAATTAAATTTTTAAATTATATAAATTATATTATATTATATAAATTTAAACAAGATAGAACGCTACAGTCGAGCAAGCCCGACAGTAAAATAGCCTGTACTCTCCACAAAAAAGAAAAATTTAAAAAAATATTTAAAAAAAATTAAACTATTTAAAAAAAATGTAATTAATTTATTAAATTAATTAAGAAAATTTATTTAATACATACATAGAAGACATCTTTATGTACAGTTTTACATTACTTGTCTATGCTTGTTTATATACGTGTATACATATATAAGCAACAACAATAACAGCTGCGGGCAGCGCTGCAAGCAGAGCATCGGCAGCGATTTTATTTATGGCTATAACTTTCTTCAGAATTGACCTATCATGATGAAACTTGGCATACGGACACATAAGTACTAACTGGACGTAACTACTAAAACTGATTTCAAAATTCGAAGAATTACGGGAGTTATAGAAACACGAATTGCGGGGGAGTGGGGGGGGGGTGTATCAGAATAAAAAAATAAACTTGACCTGCTTAGGGCTTAGGGGAACCTGGATACCAAGTTTGGTAATTCTAGCTCTTGTACCTTCTGAGATCCTTGCGCTCATACAGACGGACGGGCGGGCGGACAGACGGACATGGCTAAATTGACTCGGCTTGTCACCCTGATCAAGAATATATATACTTTGTGGGGTCTGCCACGCCTCCTTCTGTGTGTTACATACATTCGCACAAAACTAGTATAGCATTTCACCCTTTGGGTACAGGCTATAAAAATTCGGCACTTGTTGGGATCTTGCCAATATATTTGTACAACAAACACAGAATGCAAAATTAAATAAATAAATAATTAAAATAGTCTAAGCTACCATTAAATTTAAATTTAAGCTGATATTACAATTTTTGGTGAATGATGTATAGAGAGTCATGTTTTTACAGAAATTGCAAAGAATCCAATGGCTTATCCAGAAAATGTGTCTACTTGAATCAGCTCTAATGGAACCAAGTGGCTAGGGATTTGTTCAGACATGCCTGAATACAACTACATAGCTATTTATTTACACATACATACATATGTACATGTGTTGTGCTTTTGAAAAGTAAGCTCCGCACTAATCGATGGCCCGCTTTGTCGTGTAAAGTCTGCCCTTCAGGAGACACGTGTTCTCCCATGTCTGGAGATCGAGGGGAATTGCAATCCAATGCAACTTTAGTGTCTGCTATTTTTAAGTGTTGGCATAAAAGGCTGCTGACTTTAGTCACATCGGGCCCAGTTTGGTGGAAATCGAGAAAGAAAACCCACTTGCAATGAGTTGTTGTCGTCGTCGCACAAAAACATTGAAAACGCCGATAATAACAGATAATTGTGTAGAACATAGCCCAACTATTTCTCCACAACTATTTGCGGGCTGATATTCAGCGGCGAGTGGATGGCCACTAGTATTGTACGCGAACGCGAACGCGTCCACAAATCAAAGACATCAGCAATATAAAGTTCAACTGATCGATTCGATCGCTGCTTGGCTGGCCGACTTGGCCGCCTTGGCTGACTTGGCCGACTGTCTCACTGCCTGCCTGGTTGCGAGCATCGCTTTTTGTGTAGAACCTCTGTCTGTCGCCAACTCTTGCATGTCCATGCATCTGTCTGGCAGCCAATACATCGTTGTCGTCGTCACTTTGATTGCGTTTCGTGCCCAATTAGTCTCAGAGCACTTGAGTGCGTAAAAACTTGTACCGCACCATAAATAAATTGGCATGAGGAAGACAGGAGCACCAGCAGCAGCAGCAGCAGCAGCAGGAGCAGGAGTAGAAGC